TATCCCTTTTAGATCTGCAAATGAGCAAGCTGTGTTTCCATGAGTGAAGGATTCTCGAGGGGGTCAATAAACAACAATTAATCCCCCCTTACGAGTTGAAACAACTTAGCTTCAGCATATGAAATTAATAGCTATCTGATTTACATAAAATTTTTCATCCTTGGAAAAGAATGTCTCTGATTTTTTTTAAATACAACATTCCATTTATTCATATCATGTAATGTACAAGTGAGTTGAAATTTCACTGTTATCTTTTATTTTAATATTTCCAAATGGTTAATGTAAACAACATTCAATCAACAATCACTTATACCACATTCAATGATTGACTTTTCATAGTCATTTCACATAGAGGTTTATCTGTTTTCCAGGAGGGTTCCACGGCATCCAATTTATTTCCGCTCAAATTACTTTTTTAATTTCTTTTTTATAAACAGAAAAGCACATGCTGATTTACTGTCATTTTGTTTTAATTGTGATCAATTGTTGCGCTGTTTACTTAAGTTTTTTTATGAAAGACTAACTACACGCAGAATTGTAATGTGGTGTGTGGATCAAATATTTACAGGTACATTCATTTTATTTCGAATCATCTTTTTTATTTTAACTGTGAACGTTATATAATACTTATTAAGATGCAGAATTCAGTATATTTAATATATGAAAGCCAGTTGTCCCAGTTGACAAAAAAATCATATTCATATAATAGAACAAGATATCTTCGACAAATCGGCGCATTAGAAAGAAGAGGGGGGGGGGGTGGGGGGTGGTATTTACATGACTGACGCTGACCGATATTAACCCGGTTTTGACTTTGGAATAGTTTTCGCTTTGTTTTATAAAAATGTTACTTACATACCCTTTAAGTTGCATTTAAAGAAACCAATATTAATTTATTACACGTATAGAACATTGTATATAAATAAATTGTGTGTGCAGAATGAGCAATTAATTCAGCTGCAGTCTTGTACACGTGATTCGAAAATAGATAATACCAAACTGTAGGGAGTGGGGTACAATAGCAGTCATAACTTTGTATATTTTAGGTGTTATCAAACAGATACATGTAATGTTCTTGGAAGTTCATTCTATCGTAACCTAATTCATTATGTTTTATCCATCAACAATTCACAACTGATTAGGCAAAAACGTCACGACTTCGATGGGAAGTCCAATGCATCGTTTTCATACGAGTTGATTTTCGAAAAGGGTAGCAAATTATGAATGATATTGTTGAAGCTAGAGTTTAATAGCCATTCTCTGTAACCACTTAAACTTCGTTGCCACGCATGGTCACCGATTTTGATGAAACTTCACCCATGCTTAGTACTTGACACCAGAAAAAAATATCAAACAAAATTTCGTTGCTAAGTGTATCGGTTGCTATGGCAACAGCCGGAAAAGTTTGAAAAATCGAGATTTTCAGCCAATTTAAACCCTGACTGTGGCTTAATAAAAACAAGAAAAAGCAAACAAACCATTCTAACAAAAACATGACACCTTGATGTCACTTATACTGTGAAAAAACTGTTAAGAATATATCTCTAAGTAAGTGGTAACCAAGGGTACATTTGCAATACATTTAAAATGCTGAAATATGCTGAAAAACACTCCATATTCACTAATGGTAGGTGTAACATGCTAAAACTTAATCATTGACTTAAGAAAAACAATGAAAATGTTTGACCTTAAGTATAAAAGTATAAGCAATATTATTCTATAAATAACTTTTATGGTTGCCATGGTAACACAGTGTAACCATGCAAAACCAGTAACTAAGATCGGGTTAATGCTACTGTCTTGAAAAAATACATGAAAATTCAAGACTGGCAAACATGCATCCTAAGGACCTTGCAACACCAAAACCATAAGAAAAACTGGGTATAATTGCTGCTTTGTAGTGTAACCATGGAAACAAAGTACCAGTGCTTAAAAGTGAATTTTTTCCTGCTGCATTAAAAATTAAATTGCCATTTAATCAAGAAACAAATTAAAGAGCTCAACTGGAATAGTCTATCTGTTAGAACTGAAGTTAAATATCATATATTGATAAAATTTGATGAATAGAACAACACTGTTGCTATGGTTACCAAGAAGGGAAAATGTTCGTTTTTTTGAACTTTATATCATTATTAAATCCTGTGTGCCAATTTCTTGCATCCACTTAGAGATTGGATGATAGTCAAAATTAAAAGTCAAGTTAGCTGTTAATAAATATCAATCATAAAAGTTTTGGGAATCTACATTTAAGGGTACGTATCCAAGGAAACAAAATATTTTTCAGGTTTTTAAGCATATATTTTCTGTTTATTTCCATAGCAACGCTTTACTTAAAGAATCTAATCTAAATATTTTGAAATGGGAAAATTTGGAGCACACCAACATCTTATAAAATTGATCATTAGTTATGAGGAAATGTGTTTTTTTAAAAGATAGGATCATATTTAATCATACATAGTGTTACTTTGAAGGCTCTCTGGGGCATAAAAACCTTGGCAACCATTGCCAACCAAAATGTAATATCATATTTTTTTTCTTGGTATGTGTTTCAAGGCTCTTTTTTCTATTATTTGGTAACATTTCATCCTATAATTGCTTTTCATTTTTACAAGAATGACTTCATAAAATCAATGAATATTTTTTTCACTTTTGAATACTTTGTTACCATAGTAACGTATGTAATAGTTGCTTTACCAAACATGTTTATCATGCATTTGAGACATCTTACCTTCAACTTTTGGAAACAGTCATTAACAATTGTTTGCTTTGCCGCAAATGTTATCTATGGGGCTCTAAACATGTTAAAAAATGCCATTTTTCGAACTTTAAGACACGTTGCCATGGTAACTAAAAACATAGCAACCAATTTTTGCCTGATTTCAGTTCAGGGTATGAATGCCTTTTATCATCGAGAGTTTGGAAAAATTCTGAGACTATGCGTGCCACAGCTCCTATATAAAAGTTCAAGTCATTACAGAGAATTGCTCTTAATTAATACATTATGCCTTTTTATTGTTGCATGTAATATTCACAATCCATTCTGTTTAAAAATAAAGGTTGGATTGACACAGGTGTGCATGTGTAATGCGAGGTACAGCGGTATATAAGGTAAATGACTGCGTGAGTGTAGCAAAATTCGGACTGATTTGGAATTATTATACCCAAAATCACAGCATATTTCAACTACCATGTCCTAAATTGATAACAATTTCTTACATTTATTAGTAGATATATTAAAACATGTTTTTAAAATATGTACGGTGATATAAAAACACAATATCATATCTATTGGAAATCATATTGATGTAAATTATGATAATTGATTACTTGGAATGACAGGAAAGCTTTTCGTTCATCGATCGATTTTTCATGCTCCGCAGGCCTCCACCAATACGATACTTCAATTGTTGATAGATTTGTTAATAATGAACATTTACAAGAAATTTTGTTTTGGTGGGTGTGTGCGGAGGTATTTTTTTTAATCAATTTATGGCAAAAATTATGAGATTTTGATGATTTTTGCCAAATTACGTCAGGTTTACGTCACAAATATGACGTCATAAGTAGTCAATCTCCCGAACTTTTGCTATTTGTGGAATGCAATGATGGTAAACTGTGAAATATAAGTAAAGTCGATTTTATTAACTAGCTTTGAAAATTCGAAAAATTTGGGGCCGATTTTCGCACATGGAGCCCCTACCTCTTTATGTGACAACAAGGCTTAAGTAGTTTTAAAAACGTGTCCAAGGTGTATGGCAGTCCGTTAGGATCGTTATTTGGCCAACTTTGATGAGACGCACCACTTCCAACGTGCTTTTAAGCTTAATACTGGGCTTCGGAGAGCAATGGACAGACGGATTTCTACTCAAACAGTTTGAAACAGACTTCAGGAAGCAAATCTCAAGGCTTGCCGACCAACCGTACGTCCTGTATTAAAATTAGAGTGTCGCAGAAATCGACTACAATAGGCAACAGAACACAAAAATTTGGCAATAACGTCATTGGTGTCCTGTTCTCTTCTCAAACGAGTCGCTATTTTGTTTTGACTTCCATGATGACAGAAGACTTGTTTGGATTGAAAATGGGGACAGATATGCTGATTCTGTCATTTCTGAGCAATACAGAGTAAATGGAGATTTGATGATGATTTGGGCAGGCATAAGTATTGACTGCAAAACTGATCTGCACATTATTGAAGGCAACCTGACAGGTTTAAAATACCGAAATGATATTCTTCATCCTATTGTTAGACGTATTGCATGTACTCTGGGGGAGGATTTCAACATAATGGACGATAATGCTAGACCTCATAGAGTCCGAATCGTAAACGAATACATGGACAGTGAAACAAATTAGCGTATGGACCCGCCAAGTCGTTTTCTAGACCGGAAGTTAATTGATCATACCTGGAACATTCTTTAGCAACGCATTTCAGTTCGTCTTACACTACCCCAAAATCAACGGGAGCTTCATACAGGATTGCAGGAGGAATGGCAACAAATCCCTCGGGCTAGCCTTGGACGGCTGATGAGCAGAATTGGTCTGCGCTGCAGGTCCTCGCGGGGAGCTCAAACAAAATACTGGCAATCATTTTAGTGACGTTATTTGACTCTTCTGGAAAAAATCTCATTTTCAAGTCTACCCCCAACATGCCGAATTCTAAAGTGACCGTAATGAACAATTCGTATTCGTAATCAAACAAATTAATCACATTTAATGTTTAATTTTCACTTTTTAAATTTAAAATATGATACTAAAATTAAAACTGCATTCTGTTTTCTATGATACAATATTTATAAAAATTATTTAATTTGATGATCCTTAACTTTTTTTGTCCAGTATATATATAGTTGAATTTCGATTTTTCTGCTAATTTTCTATTTTTATTTTCCTCAAACAGAAAAAAACAGCAATGTTTTTTTTTTAATTCGAAGTATTGTGTCCTCCTTTCGTTAGTGTAACCAGGAATATACTTAACAATTGTATTTTCCATTTGTTAGGTGTGTTTACTTGTCAGAGAGGATGGGTGAGCTACAATTCCAGATGTTATCTATTTGTTTCAAATACGAAGTCCAACTGGAACGGTGCATTAGTAAGCAGTTAGTAATTATTAGTGATTATTGAAATATTTATAGTCTGTAAATGATCAACTAAGACCTCAGAGACTTACAATCTGACATAATTTGGTAATTATACATGGATTTTTGTGTGGATTTTTATTCAAGGACATTGTTATGAACACCTCACTAAAAAGCACGAAAGCTGAAAATTCCATCATAGGTGTTACGGTAGGATGGGATATTTTGAAGTGCAAATTTTTGAATAGCTAGTATATTCTGGGTAGTATATAACTGTAGTATAATGATACTCTTGAAGTACACATAAAAATATACGAAAATGATATTGTACATACGTGGAACGTATCAAAAAGTATAGGCTAGGATCTTCATGGTACGTGTTCTTTACTTCTGGATTCTTTGAAGTGTTGTCTCTGCAGTATATGAAAGATGACACATTAAACCAAACAATTCATAAGAAAAACATTCATTTTATGAAAGTATTAACAAAACAAATCCTATAAAAGAAATTAAGCAAGTTAGGAAAAAAAAATGTACAGATGGATCTTTTTGTACCAGCACCAACACTGCGACACGGGTCCTCGGTTAATACTAGCAGGATGTCTAATCCGAAGAACTGGTCTCCACGTCCCGCAGTGAACCCGCGACGTAAAACTCCAAAAAAATGTGGATTAAAAAATAATAACTTTAATTTTTTGTAGCAATACTGCTTCTCTAAGAATTCCACAATAACAGAGATTGAAGACGTTGCAGAGAATCACTTTTTAACTCAATTCATACGCCTCAATATCCACAATGGTAAGATACAGGATTCATTGCAGCCCGGAGGACGGGGCTGCTCTATACATATAAGCTTAAAGCAATATGACCTGCATTTTTTAAATTTTTATTTTGGTGTTAAAATGTGTTATTATGATAAATTTGTATGTAACTTATACCTTTATGATCAACTGGACTAAAATAAAGTAGAAGGAAGACTTTTATATACAATCCAAAATACAGTGTTACATCAGAAATCAGTATTGTACAGGACGACAATAATGTAATTTTGATTCAATCAAGCTTATAAATAGTTCTTCCGTTGCAAATATGAACAAAAAACTTTAATAATGGTATTTTTTCAGTTATTGAAATAGTTATTTACAATATTGCAACAAAAAATTCCGACATCAAAGTTGCAGCTAATAGAGATTGTTCTATCTGACGTATCCGTATCCGTATACGTATCCGTATCCGTATCGAGGTATGAGAGGAATCTCGATCCCGATGTCTAAACCATCTGGTTACATTTCCATCGTTTCAAGTTTGGTTTTTAACCTTATTCACTAAGAAATAATCTGTAGTGTGATTTTTTAAATAAAATAATATAAGTTGCTGTACACGTCTTATTGGGTGGAGGGGGTATAAAAGTTTAAAAATAAAATTAGAAATCAGGTATGATTTTTTTGAATTTAAATGTGTAGAAAATATTTCTAGATCGACCTCTCTCTCTCTCTCTCTCTCTCTCTCTCTCTCTCTCTCTCTCTCTCTCTCTCTCTCAATTTTAGGGTATTCATTCTTCATTCTTGAAATAACATTTACAAGAACACGACATATCCCCAATAATATATAATTATATATGCAGTTAAACCTTTTTATCTCAAACTTGTAAATTGTAAATACATGTAGTTGTACATTAACTGGGAAAGATTAAATCAAAGTACAAAACAAATGTATATTGGGGATTCACTGAAAATGTCCATCCTCATTTCCTTTTTTATCATCTTCTATGCCATTCATTATCACGTAATGATCATAGTTCTACAGGAAAATTTTGGATATCTGGCAATTCGGGGGCAGTTTGAATACACTCCCTAAATCGTAGGTCGATAACCGTATCATGGGCGTCGGAAGGAAATAGAAAGGGGAGCTAGTTGAAAGGGGATGCTAAACCAACAAAAAAAAGATAAACCCCAATTTTAATTGCCTATATGTAATGTCTATCTTTGCAAGAAAGAGGGGGAAGGCTAAGCCGCCCCTACCCCCCCCCCCCCTCCCGGTTCCGACGCCTATGCGTATTTAGGGTTTCAAGGAGCTTGAGAAATGACTATGTACAAGATCTGAAAGTGTTGCGTTTAAACGCTGTATATTTTAGACTTGATTGATTAAACACTTGTCGATAAAGGGGGAGGAAAATAAATGTTAGGTTATGATGTATCTTCCTCTCTTAAACTATTCTTTTTCCATATTAACTTCTTTTCATAAAAGTTGCATGATGGAGTTTTTAGTAAACAAAGCAAGCTCTGAAAAACTCCCACTTTATTTGCAAAGATGGACATATTATGTATTGAGGTGTAGGATAAGCCCCTTCCCCATTCTCAACAGGCATGTTGTATTGCAGTTAACTTAGGCGTCGGAACAGGGGGGCTAGGGGGCGTAGCTGCCTGCCCCCTCCCACTTTTTTATCCAAAGATAGACTTAATATAGACATTGAACATCGTGGCGTAGGTTTAGCCCCCTCCCCCCCCCCCACTTTCCACAAACATGTTTTAGTTTAGGTTAAATAAATGTGGGAAGTGGTGTTGTTTGGAAAAAATTTGCTAGTGAAACTAACACCCCACCCCCCCCCCCCCCCCCCTCACCGAAATAGGATTTTCGTGTTTAGACGGACATTTCTTTTTTTTTTGCCTGCCAGCTTTTTTGTAAGGAATAACAAAAATATTTCTTAACGAGGCTCGGGGGTGGCAGCCATTTTCAGACTATTTCTATCTCCTTTAAAAGAAGAGCTCCATATACAGATATTGAAAATGATCAAATTTTAAAAATATTTTTTTTAAATATTTATTTGCCAAATGATAGTTGACAGCTTAAGATATCACATCTAAAAAAATTAGTTAAATCTGGTGGTTAATTTGTGATTAATTTGTTGACCCGCCAGCCTCCTTAAATAGCCCCCCTCCCAATTACATTTTGCTGCCGACGCCAATGGTTAAAGTAGGGTAAGTGGGAGTGTTTGAAAAGAAAATTGTAATGAAAAAAGTTCGACCCCCCACACACACACTCACACACAATAGTATTTAAGGATTTTGGACAATGAACAAATATTTTTCCTTTTTTCTGCTTTTTCAGAGCTGAATTTTTTCTCTTTCAATTAGCCCCACTCCCTACTTTCAATTTCCTTCCGACGCCAATGTGAGGGGAGGTGAAAAGGAGGGAGTTGAACTGGCTATTCAAAGCATATACTCAGAACTTGTAACGATATTGAAGCGAATTAAGAAATCAATTTGAAACTCTCGCTAAAACGGCTAAAGAGTTTTATTGATCGCGTTGATGATAAAGTATTTTGTATTTCAGTGTGTGTGGGGAGGGGGGGGGGTATCTATTATGTTATCAGTTACGCGTAATGGCATAATGAAAAATACAAAATGAATCAATAAAATATCCTGATATTATAAGAGAGGAAAAGGAGAAAGGGGATTTTTCAACAAACATTTGGAAACAAAATGAAATTAATTTTAAATTTGGTTTCATTTTCTTTTCTTTTTTTAATCAATATTTTTTCTCCAAAATGATAGAGTTTTACAGCAGTTTAGTATTTTTATAGAAAAAAATTACCATTTGCTATTTTTCAATGCAAGACTGTGGCTTATTCAGAGATGGAATTGCATTAAATGGTTTAGACATCGGGATCGAGATGCCTTTCATATCTCGATACGGATACGGATACGTATACGGATACGGATACGTCAGATAGAACAATCTCTAATATTGCTTTAAGTGTTGGTATATGGGGATTGAGGTGGGAGAAGTTATTCAGAATTTTTGGTTTTCTAAACATTAAAAAGATTGTTAATCATAATGCTCTTTCCCTTAATGAATTTCCAGATACATAATATATTTTCTTCCATAAAGTGAATCTGTAAAAAAATATACGTATATGTTTTCCATATTGAAATATAAAGTTGCTTATTATTTACTAACGAAAAAAATACAGGTTCATCAATTTCATCATTTTTTGAACCAATGACTTCTCACAGAGTAACCGATATAAAATATTTTTCCTAAATATGTTGTTTGGCTGATTTCAAATAAACAGGATTGTTTCTTTTTTTAAAAAAACTTATCCTTTCTTGGAACAATAATATATAAAAATCACTAGCTGTTCTAAAAAGATTAAATACAGTGTGTGTCTCTTTAAATATTGTCCTTACAGGAGATTACTGGATCGGAGGTATAAAGTCAATGAATACTTGGATATGGGCGTCATTACAAACATCTATAAGTCACTATACTGGCTGGAGTGTAGGGGAGCCGAATAACAAACTTCACGACGAAAGCTGTATTGAGCTAAATCATATGAAACACTATCAATGGAATGATGAAAGATGCACTGAAAATAACTATTTCATCTGTGAGCAACCGTAAGTGTTACCTTTTGATTGATCCTTTTGAGCGGCCGCCTCTGGATCGGAATATAAAGGATTCAGCTGTCTATCTTGGCGTTGCGTCAAACCTTAGAGGTATAAACGTTGGTAGTGATTTTTCCCTCGCCAATTACCCGACACTGAAAGAGACAGTCACAAGTCTCAATGACATATAAAATTCTAAGGCCTTGCAGCCTTGTGTCAAAGTTGTACACAGCGATTCCTCCTCAATAGAAGCTATTTTGCTGGGATATATTATAAACTATAAATTTGAAGCTGTTCACCTTTAAATGTTGGCGTCTCTTTAGGCGAAATACGAAGAACAGCAATCCATTAATCAATCAACTGAACATCCCGAATTTTGAAATAACTTATAAAAAAGATTTCACATAGTCTTTTCAATCAGATTCTCATTTATTCTTAGCTCACCTAAGCCGAAGACTCAAGTGAGCTTTTCCGATAAAAATGTGTCCGTTGTCTGTCGTCGTCGCTGTCGTTGTCGTCGTTGTTGTCCTTATCTTTTCACATTTTCAACTTCTTCTCTATAACCACTGGACCAATTTTAACCAAACTTGCTACAAAGTATCTTTGGGTAAAGGGATTCAAGTCTGTTCAAATGAAGGACCACGTCGTTTTTAAAGGGGATGTGATTATGAATCAGGCCGAAATATTGGGCCAAAATGGCCGATCAAAGTTTTACATAGGAAGGTATAGGAAAAATCTTTAAAATCTTCTTCTCAAGAACCACTGGGCCAGGAAAGATGAAACTCATGTGGAATCATCCTCAGGTAGTGTAGACTCAAATTTGTTCAAATCATGACCCCCGGGGCTAGGGTGAGGCCAAAAGTTTTACATAGGGATATAATGGGAAACCTTTTAAAATCTTCTTTTCAAGTACTTCAAAGCCATGATTAGTGATATTTATATGGAATCATCCTCAAGTAGTGTAGATTCTAGTTTGTTCAAATCATGAACCCCTGGGGGTTAAAATTAAAGCCCCCCCCCCGTAAATTTTCAGCTCTGATCTTATATGTGCTTTTTCCTAGCCGATGTGCTCAAGTGAGCGCTGTGGCCCCTGGGCCTCTTGTTATGTTAACCTGGAAACTAATGTCAAAAATCTTAATTTTCTATAATTTATGGAATAACTTTGTTACTTTCTACGAAATATGGAATAATTGCACTAGATAGTATTTAATAAAATTTTAAAGGGAATTTGTTTTTAAGATACTGTGTTTTTATGAAAAAAAAAAAAAAAAACCAGTTCACATTGGATGTGTCTTATCAGTCAGATTCATATTTAAGGGTGCCGAGTGTGTTTTTATTGTGTGAAAACTACAAAAGCGAAGCTCTTCATTTGTTTTACCATACATAATATACAGCTACTCAAGTGTACATGTCAAGTTTGGAGGTCAATCTACCGTCCAGGTATTTTTTAATGGACCAACTCAAAATAACAGGTACATTTACTATAGGACAATATAGGAAATGTCAATTTTTGACCCTTTAAAGCAAATTATACAAATACTACTATCTAGAATTTTTGTTCAAACTATGATATTTGATGAGCAGTGAATTCTACCATCTTGTTACGAGAGGGGGGCATCTCAAAATACAAAAAATTAACAAATTTTCCTGTTTTTATAGAGTACTACAAAATTTGACGGGCACAAAGGATTAATATGAAAACATAATAAAAGTAATGGAGATAAATATAATTCTCAAATTTCTATGTTTTATTTTCAAGAGAGAACGTACTTTAATTACTTTTTCTTTATTAACATTTTATTACCCTTTTCTTAAAGAGCTTCAGTTTATAATAACGTAAAAAAAACATACTGTAATGTGCGTCGACCTACCTATCAATTGCAACATCGGTAAAAAAAAATTTGTTATTTAAAATTGTATTGTTATTACATTTTCATACATGTAATATCTTATTTTGTTTTATTTTAATAGTAGATCGAAAAAAAATTGTTTTAAAACAGCATAAACGCTTCATTTGTTTTTATAATGCGCGAAATGTTGCGCAATTGAAACCACAGTCGCACCCCTTAATTCTCCCATTCACAATGTTTGTTGATAAAATTAATGAGATGGACATGGTTCGTAAGAAGATCAAATAAAAATTGAAAGATGGTTGATATTATTTTGATAAATCTTTATTTCAGAGATGCTTCGCATATTAATATTAACAAGCCTAACATACCACATGTACCGACCACAACAAAAAACTGGCTCACTTTGCAAACTTCTACCACTAAGCCTCCTTATGTACCACCTATCAATTCAACACTAGCAATCACAACGGTCATTTCGTCTACCACACCACCAACTACCACAAACACCATAGCTCCACCTACCACAAAGCGACTACAATTT